TTCCCTCATTGCCATGCCCTCTTCCTTTGGAGGTGGGTTTTTTAGTTTTTGTGATTTAAAAAATTTTTTCTTCTTAATGAATTTATTGGGGTGAAGCTGGCTAACAAAATTATACAGGTTAATTTGTGTGATTTTTTAAAAACTTTAATTTATGCTTGTTTTGGAAATATGAAAAGTATAATTTAAAAATTACCCATAATCCATCACCTGAAAGAAATCACTATGTATAATACTTGCTGCTTGTTCTTTTATTATGACTGTTTGTATAGAGTTATAACCTTATATGTGCATTGCTTTCATATATATGTAAGTTTATTTTGTTTTGTTTTGTTTTTGTTTGTTTGTTTTTTTCAAAAACAAAGGTAGGATATACTAGAACCTCCACCGAAGTCCCAGACCTGAGCGGCTTTGCCAGCCTGGGTTTTATGGACTCTTGGGAGAGGTGCAGGAACATGTGGCTGCTTTACTTTGATTCACGGGTTTGGGCGACTTCTGTTGCTCCTCACATGCTACATGGCTTGGATTAGGCCTTGAGCTCTAGCTCATCTGTAAAATGAGGATAATGGGGTGGTCATGAGGACCAAGACAGTTGGCAGGATCTATTTGTTAAGCACTGTAATGTAGGTGTCCACAGCTGTCTAGTTGGTGGACATACAAGAGAAAGGTACTTTCTGTTTCTCTCAGGGATACAAACTTGGGTTTTCCTCTAGGAATGTGGTCTAATCTAGCCAGGGTAGTGCTAGGCATTGTAACCTATGTGGTTTGCCGTTCCACCAGAAAGAGCATGAAGCAGAGCCCTTCTGCAGGTGTGCACACTTTCTGTGACCGGCAGAAGCCCCTTCCGGATGGTGCAGCCCAGTATTACGTAGCAGGTAGGTCGCAGCCCAGTTCTGGCCCCAAACTCTTGGCTGGGTGCTGGCTCACTCTGGGGCGTGCAGGCAGGTGGTGTGGCACAGTGGTCAAGAGCAAGAGTTTGAGAGTTCAACATACTTGGGCTTTAATTCTGACTGCCATTAACCAGCCATCATATGACCTTTGGCAAATTATTGACCCTTCATGGATCTTAATTTCTTTTCTATAAAATCGGGTTGTAATGACCACATGATAGAAAGCACATAAAGTAGCCCAGCCCATATGGTAAGGGCTTAACACTTGTTGCGGTTTTTATGATGAAGATGATTGCTATCATCATTGATACGGCTGATTTCACACAACTCTCTGACCCCTTTTTGGGGTCCTGGGAGCCTCACACTAGAATGACTGGACTATTCCCTGCAGGTCATCTGCCAGTGAAGCTGCCTGACTACAACAACCGTCTGAGAGTGCTGGTTGCCACCTATGTGACCTTCAGCCCCAGTGGCACAGAGCTGCTGGTCAACATGGGAGGGGAGCAGGTATGTACGACTGACCAAGTTGGCTCTGCCCCACCACCACCCCATACCCAGCAGCCAGGGCTGTGTACCTCAGGTCCATGATGCAGACAAGAAACCTTATTGTAAATGCCATTATAGTGAAATGTGGGAATGACATAGTATCAATTGGAATTCCCAGATAGGTGCTCTAGCCTGGTCTTTTTTATTTGAGCATAAGTTTTAGAACTGACAGACGTATCTTGAAATGCTGACCTTCTGTTTACTAGCTGTGTACTGTGACTTGGAACAAGTCTCTTTTTTCTGAGCCTTGGTTTCCTCATCTACTGTTTTCCTAGGAGGAGATCTTGGGGTTCAGCCGGGCTCTGGTTTAGGGCCAGCTTTGGGAAATATTCTTTGATAATGGCAGGTTGCTAAACCTTTTGTTCTCATGTTCTCAGTCAGGATATTTATTAAGCCTGGCATAAATTCATTTATTTTACAAATACTGAACACATATTCTGGGATTAGCGTTATCATAAATATGAGGGAGACAAATGCAAAATATAATCCATCCCAGGCTAACAGAGGAGACACAGCAAGTGAAACAATTGATGACATTACAAGGTAAGGTATGATTTTGTACAGAAGAAATGGGGTGGAGAATAGGTAGTGCCTGAGTTCAGAATAGAACTCTGGCTTCAGATTGCTGAGCCATCATCTGGCCTAAAGGTAACGTAAGGATGAGTGGAGAGGCAGTCTAGCAGAGTGGTTAAGAGCTTGGTTTGGGGTCCTGGCTGTGTCACATGCTGCTTTTATGGCCCTGGATAAAGTAAACTCTGAGTGTACATTTCTTCATATATAAAGGGGATGATGATAATAGTACCTCTTCCTGGGAGGGTTTCTAGGACAAAATCAGATGTCATATAAAACAACTAAAGTTCCTGGAGCAAAGAAGGGGAAGTCAATAAATGTTAAGTAATAATAGACAATATTTACTGAGGGAAGTAACTAGCAGTGTTATTTTAGGTAAATTGCTTCTCTTTTCAGGCTTCAGTTTTCCCATCTGTAAAACGAGACATTTCACTTTGTGACCTCTGAGGACCTTTTCAACTTAAACATGTGATTCTAACTAATGACAATATTTCCAGCAGGAACTAGGAAGACTTTCCTGACTAAGGGTTGCTCCATAGAAACCCCTTCCAGCCTGGCTCAGTGGTTCCCTGCTCAGCACTCACTGTGTCCTGAGAGGCACCCAGGCCTGGCTCAGCCACATGCTTACCTCACAGCCTCCATTTCTCCTTGACCCCTCCCCTCTAGGTCTATTTGTTTGACCTGACTTATAAGCAGCGGCCATACACGTTCCTCTTGCCTAGAAAATGCCACTCCTCAGGGGGTAAGTTCTCCCTTGGGGTGTCCTTTAGAGTACCTGCTGGGGAGCTGAGTGCGTGCCACCTCTGCTAAGAAACCTTCCCCTTACCTTGGGCTGTGGCTGCGATCCTGCAAAGGAGTAGATTTTCTGAACTACACTACCTGTACAGTAAAAAAGAAGATAACAATAGGTCGCAGAAATCTGTCAAAGGGATTTGTGCCACAGCCCTTTCACTTCCCTCTGAAAAAACAAGTTCTTTCCATGGTTGGCTCTTGAGGACCTGATACAGTTTCCCTTCCCTTATTGTCCTAGATCAGTCTCCTCATTGATTTCTTACTGGAGCCTAAAGTTTATTTAGACACGTCTGCACCCCCAACTCCTACTCCCATCCCCAATTCCAGCTAAGGGTAATGCCAAGTTGAAGCTGTGTCCCTCTTCAGCCAGCAGAGGGCGCACATGGTTTTTTTTTTAAAATGCTCTTGCCTGCTGCTCTGCAAAAACTTGCTTTCTGGGAATAGATCTTACCCTGGCAGGATGGCCTCACAATGAAACCCAACAGACCCTGTGATGGAAGCTGGAGGGCTGCCAAGGAGATATGAGGACCTCTTCCTGAGTTGTTGCTATTCCTTTCTCCCCATCCCCTGCCAGAAGTTCAGAATGGCAAGATGTCCACCAATGGTGTGTCCAACGGCGTGTCCAATGGCCTGCACCTTCACAGCAATGGCTTCCGGCTGCCAGAGAGTAGGGGACATGTGAGGTGAGGCCAGTTCACTTGTCCAATCCTCCCAGCCCCAATAACATCTATAGACTAGAGGGAGGAGTATGTCTTATAACTCTTCCTCCTGACACCCACCCAGGCACATACTCCAGAGTCAGAGGACTGGGGCAAATAATTTTCTGGAGGGTGATTAATGGTCCCAATGCCACTCGTACCTGGTAGGACTCCAGTCATGCTCAGACTGAAACGCTGGTCTCTTGGACCAGAAGCTGTAGTCAGGGGACCCAGAAGCTAAGTGCCTCGTTTCACTGAGTTCCTTCCTAAAGGGCCCCACACAGATGGGCCTCTCCTATTATATTTTTCTCCGTCCCATAGCATCTTCTGACCTTGGTTCTCTGTCAGGTTCTCTGCTGGGCTTCGGATACAGAGGTTTTCAAGTCCTCTAGCCCTTGAGAGAAACAGAATTCTTTCTAGAGAGATCCATGGGAGGGACTTGGGTGGTCACAGGGTTCAGCTCAGTGTAGAGACAGGTGGGGTCAGCTACTATCGTGCCCAAGAGTTTGGTTAAAAATTGCCTTAAACCTGTCTAGGACCGTTTCATTTATGCCTCAGTTGTTTGTTTACTGGCTCAGAGTATCTGGAATTGTACCTATTACCTGTCACAGTAACTCAGGCCAAGGATAGGAGTGGTCCCCTCTTCTAGATGATAGTGCACATCCCAAAGACCAAAAAAGCCTGGGTGACCCTCAGACAAGGCTACAGACTTCCTGAGGGTCTGCTCTGGCCTGACTTGGCTCTGCCTCCTCCATAGTCCCCAGGTAGAGCTGCCCCCATACCTGGAGCGTGTGAAACAGCAAGCCAATGAGGCTTTCGCCTGCCAGCAGTGGACCCAGGCCATTCAGCTTTACAGCAAGGCTGTGCAGAGGGCCCCTCACAATGCCATGCTCTACGGGAACCGAGCTGCTGCCTACATGAAGCGCAAGTGGTGAGTGGGTCTGGGCCAGGGCGAGGGACGAAGGCAATGGGCCTGATAGAGCCCTGGGTGGTGGTAGTGATATCCCGCAGCCTCTTAAGCTTCTTAGGCCCAGACCTCTCCTCCCCTCGGCTAGACTGGGGGTGGGCAGACACCTGGCCCATTAGTCAGTGTGTCTCAGTCACCAGGGAGCTCACAGTTACGTGGAACATGCACACAAGTAGCTTCAACGTGGTGCTTTGTTATTAAGTGCTGTGGTCACGGGGGAAGTTGGAATTGAGAGAATGGTTAATCCTAGCTGTTGGAGAACTGGACCTGGAGTTGGACTGTGAAGGAGCAGCTGAATCTTGCTAGATGGAAATGAGGTGTTTGGTAAATTCAGTTACTATTTGTCTAAAATGATTCTGCCACTCCTTGACCTTGGGGAGTGCTTTCCTGGCTCTTAAACCCTTTGGACCAAGCACAGACAAGATCCCAGATATCTGAAGCTGGCTGTGGGTCATGTTGGGTTGTGGTGGCCAGTGGTAAAGGAGTAAGTCCCTATCTTAAAGTACCCTTTCATCTTTGGGGCTCCTCAGGGCCCCCAGCCCTTTCTGCCTGCAGCACCAGCAGGCAAGCAGACAGGCAGACCCCATCCCCCAGCCAGGGCCAGGACTAGAGATGGATAGAGCTGGGCCCACAGCCATTTCTGCTCCGTCTGGCATCCGTCGGCTCTGCCCAGACAGACAGGCCAGCTGGTGTGCCATCGTCTGGCTGCAACTAGGCAGGCCAGAGAGGGAAGCTTAAGAAACCCACCCAAGTCAGCAGGATGGTGGGTGGGGGTTTGGGAAGGTGCTACCCCACAGGCCTTAGCTTAGGCATCAGGAGCTTGCCAGGGCTCAGATGGCAGCCAAATCCAGGCGATGACTGTTCGAGGGCCATCCTGAGGTGTTTCACCACACTGTCCCAGCAGTTTGGTGGGTCCTCATCCAGGCTGAGAGCTGTTTCACTCCTGCATTCTTGCTAAGAGAGGCTGATAAATTCCCAACCCATGGGTGCCCTCGACATGGTCTCTGAGCTCCTACTATGCACTAGGTACTAGGGACACAAAGTTGCCACTTTAAGTTCTTGTGCTCCGGAGTGCCCAGCCTCTGGACAGGGGACAAAGACAGGGACATGGTCTGTCATCAGAGAGGCAGGAAGGAAGCAGTAGGTCTTTTTGAATGGTCTGACCATTCAAAAAAAAGTTGGGTCGCTTTAGTTCGGCATCAATCAGGAAAGCATCGGGAAGATGTGGTGCTGAATGGGCTTTAAGTGTGGGCAGGCTTAGACAAGGAGATGAAAAGGAGGAGGGGACTGTGGGGGAAAGACATTCCCAGGGAGATGAAATGGTACGAACAAAGGCTTGGGGGTGGGGGACTGACTGAAGAGCTTATTTGCAGAACAACAAATCCATTTGGCTGGAGCAGAGGGTTCGGGAAGGGACTGGCAGGAGATGAGTCTGTGAGGTAGCCTGGGGCTGGCCTGGGAAGGACTTGGAATGCAGGGCAGTGGCTGTGTTTTGGCCTCGATTCAGTGGATGATGGGCAGCTACTGAAGAGATTTGAGCAGAAGAGGGATGTGCTGAGGGCTGTCCTTTCAGGGAGATTGATCTGGCAGTTCGTCCGGATGGGTGAGCCCTGGGGCCAGGCTGCGCACTCCTCATTCTCTCTCACATGCCTGCCAGTGACCCCTAGAATGTCACATTCTGTCCAGGGCAGGCTCCCCAGGGCTGCCATCTGCTCCTGGATGCAGTGGGAGCTGTCGCCCTCTGGCTCCTGGCTGGTCTCTGGCTGGCTCTCCCCAGGAGCTCTGAGGGGCACCTTGCAGGCGGTAATTGGTTTCTAAACAGCGCCGGCTCCCTCATCACAGCCACTGGTTCTGACACTGGCCACGCCATGGAAGCACTCCGTCTCCTTCCTGCCCACACTGGCTGGGCTGCTTGTTCTTGGTCCGAGCATGGCTCCTGCAAGGGATGGAGGCTCCCCTGAGTGCTGAGGAGAGAAGGGTCAGGAGGACGTTCCCATGTCCGGCCTGCTTTGGCTGCGCACGAGGCTTGTGAGCTGTGCCTCGGTGGAGGACCCCCCAGCTCTGGGAGTGCTGCTTGGCATAGCTGAGTCTTAAGCCCAGAAGGGAATAAAATAGCTCCCAAAGGAGAAGTGGCTCCTGTGATCCGTCTGGCTCTCCAGATGAGAGGTGGGAACCGTCTATGGGTGCTGGGGAGTGTGTATCTTACATTCTGGCACAGAGTGGGAGGAGGGGCTTCTCCTTTGACCCCGCCCCTCTCACTCCTCCACAAAGAAACGTTTCCACTTCCCTTCACCTGTGCTTCAAGAGGTTGGAGAAGTGAGTGGGGACAATTTGGAGCTCCTGGTGT